GAAGAAAAGCTATTTCAATATCTTTATTTAACGAGTTGAATATTCTCGTTTCTACTTCAATTGATGGTGTTATTACGGGTATGTAAAGTTGGAGATTCGTTATTTCTAATTTTGCATCTGAACCATTCTCTCCAAAGAATATCTTATCATCGTTGATTTCTCTTTGTAGATGAATTTTATATGGTAACCCTATTGAAACTTTTCTGTGTTCCAACAGACCGAATAAAGGATATAATTTCCAATTTACGTAATTACCCCACTTATTATTCTCAACAATATTATTGTACTGAAGTACTCGTTTTTCAAATCCATGATTAGCTGCTCATGCTACTCTTTCTATCGTGTTTCGAGCAACAACTCTCACTCTATCTAAATCAGCATCATTTGCAACATTTCTTATCGGTTCTTTTAAAACACTTCCATCACCAACATCGGGTATCCAACCTGAGACTGAATCGAAGTCTTTAGGATATAAAACTGTTTTCAACATTGTGTCGAATTCCCCAGGGTGTTTAATTGTTTCTATCGGATTTGAACCAGCTTCCAAAACCATCTCGCTAAATAAAGATGGAAAGAAATTGTTTTCTAACGTTGTATTAGTTTGTGGAACTTGATTCTGAGTTCCATCTTTAATTTTGAAATCGCATCTGAAATAAGCATATGAAAGAAGCAACCAATTCGATAATGAATTTATTTCGAAGGTAATTCTACCACCATCATTCAATTGGGATTTAGAACCAACAGTCGGTGAGATGATAATATAATCCTCTTTTTTCTTGTTAAACGAATAACGAATCGGATCGTATAATCTAAAGATTGGATCTAGTATTTTATTTGCCATTTTTAAGGTTTAAGTAGAAAATTGTTTTTTCTTAAACAAGAGTTATCTCCCTTCTACATTATTTTAAAACCAGATGTTATTTTTATATAAGGGTATTTTTAATAATATGCTTTTTTTTGATGGAATGTAGGAAATTGATTGAAGGTGTTTTTTGGTGAATAGGGAGTTTAGCGTGTAAGAATTTATGAAATGTAGGATGTTTTATGAAATGTAGGATGTTTTATGAAATGTAGGATGTTTTGCTGTAAGAATTTATGAATTGTAGGGAGTTTAGGTCTTTTTTGGGAGCTTATATATTGGTCGCATTTTCCCCATGAAATGAAATGGAATGGGGAATCCCCATGCGACCAATCTATAAGCTCATACACTACTTTTGCTTCACTTTCGATTTACACAGAAAATTAGGTCAGGCAAGGTAATATACGCCCACTTCCAGCTTTGATTTTTAATGAAAATATTTGATAGTGCAGTAACAATCACCAGTATGAAGTATTCAATCTTCAGTCATGCACTTCTTTTGAACTTTTTGGGGTGATACTGAACAAACAAGTTTGGTCAAAATCCTGCAAGAATAGGACCTGAAGAGTGTTGAAGCAAAATATTGAATGCGTTTTCAAGAACAAGGTCAATAACTCATAATACAATAGTTTTCGATTTTCAATAGGGTTCATCCATCCGTCGAGAAGTGTGCCTTCTTGAGTGTTTAAAAATTGAACGTGTTTCAAGGAACAAGGGCAGTAGTAATAGTACACTTCTCTCCACACTACCGTAAATCTCTAAATACTTTCACTAAAGTATACGATCGAAGATAACTGGTGGTCTTTTTACACGTAACACCAGTTTAACAACAAGAGGGAATTCGTTAAAAACAGAAGCAGATTTGACACCTGCGGCGCACTATTCGAGCAATTTATGGTCGAATGACAGGAAGACCATTCGTTCGTTTTGGGAACAATCTCCACTCAGCCTCTGTGGTGGGCACCCACTGGATGATTGGAAAATTCAGTAACCTACGGTCCGACCCCTTTTGAATAAATCCTACGTATGCCACTGCCCCTGCCCCAAAAGCCATCTGCGCCCCTGGATTATACATATAGTAATACCGGAATTAACAAACATGAAATTTGTAATAGTGACGATGAAAATGAGCCAAATGTAGAGGAGAAAACTGATCTCCTACGCTTGGAAACACTAAAGAAAAACAATCTTCTCTTTTAGGTGAGTTCAAAAATCAGACTTAATTGAAATTAATGAATAGTAAATCTACCTTGATTGCTTCATGGATGAAAATGCAAAAATTTAATTCAAATTATAAAGAAAAATATCACAGTTCATGAATACTAAATAAAAAATTCAGAGCAGGATAAAATTGGAACACACGGATTGAAATAAAATGCCTTTTCTTGTGTCACCGATGTTTATAAAGGCCGTAATTTGATTGATTTGCACACTAGCAAATACAGACAACCATAGCCTTGGACAGAAAGTCTGTAAACAATATAGCTTATTACGTCTTTCTGTTGAGGACTGTGATTGTCTGTATCCAATCAAATGGCTGCATTCCATGATACAAGAAAGGCTATTATTGGAGTCATGATTAAATACTAAGTTCGTAATAACTTGATTGATGATGATGACCTGGAATCAGTAAAGCCTAGCTGTTATCTATACACATGTGTAACAATCTCTGGACTATCAAAGGATTGAATTGCTCTTCTTCTTTCCTCAATTCGAGGTACTTTAGACCAATCCATACTTGTATATAACATTAGAGATTTCTTCAGTCTTCTATCATTTACAGCTTCATCTAGTGAATCAAACACTACCCTGAAAATATTGATATTAAATGTGTTGTTAACAGAATAAATTTCGGGAGGAGAGGGATAACCCCAATTATTCCACAACAGTATTGTTCTCGATGTCATAACAAAGGTTCATAAAGATAGCTTGCCAGGCAAGGTAACATACACAAACTGGCAGCTATCAGAAATGCTATACAACAAATTTTCTTATATTCAAGGTCTTCAAAATATGATTTGTAGGCCTAGTTCAAAACACTAAATGTTTGACGTTACTAATCACAAAATATGCTTTAAAACATAAGGACTTCGCGATTAATGACAACGTAAACGCTTAGTTTTAGTGGAATTGAAAGAACCACAGACGTATGATTGGAAATTGGATTGATGCAAAATAATACTATC